CCAAACCAGAAGTTTCTCTTCAATCCGCGTCTGCACTCCGGATTGACCTGCAAAGCCCCGATGTGGAACTCGGGGTAGAAACTCCGATGCTTAAGTCAGCAATAATCGAGACTACCTTTAAAGTGGAGATAAAAGGAGCTTAGGGTTGGTTTCAATTACCTTTTTGACGTGGCCCCTGGGGGGTATTTATAGGCTTCAATGAGGAACCCACGTGGCATGCCAAGCAAGATAATCGGAGTGTGACGTGTCCCTTAAGGAGATAAACTTGGGACCGGCTACAAATTCGGGACCGAAGAGTTATGTAATAAATCAGGTGTGGATATGCCCACTGTATTTATCGTATAGCCGTTTGACCAGAAATGCTGGGTTTAACTTCACTTCGGTTATCAAGGAATTGTTATAGTACGTCCGAGGTCCTTAACCTCGGACTTATCCTTACAGAAAAGCAGGGTAGAAGGGAAAAAGAGACAAAAAAATGATGCACATCAATTTGTTTTGTTTTACCATCTAACTCACATGTTTTTAATTGTAATCTACTCAAACGTGGTGAGACCAGAAAGACTTAAGATTCCAAATACAATTTGATAAAATTTCGGCGGGAGGAGTTGGTGATGGATCAAGTTTGTGATGCCCTTATACCCTTTCTTTTATATTTAGTTATAAATTTCAGTTGAAGTTTTAAGTTATTAATTATTATCTCAATTTAACTTTAGTAGTTTTGCTTCTTTTTTTTTTTTTTTGTTATTATTTTTTAGACATGAATTTTAACTACAAATTTCATATATTATATAAATAATAATTAATTTTTTAATTAAATAAAATTACTTAATAAGAATTACATATAGAATAAAATTATTTTCAATTATAATTTATATAAGTTATTAAATTTTATCTAAAATTTATATTGAAAAAATAAAAAAAAAATAAACTAAGAATACTAAAGTTGATTAAAGAAAGTAATTCAATCATCCCTGATACTTAAAACGTTTATTTGTTCTCATTAAATGTCAACATGCCTCGTATGGTTATTTTAATAGTGAATAATTAAAACACTTTTCCTCAAATCTCTCACTATCTTTACAAGAGTTTTTATAGCTCGTGCCCTAGAAGATAGAGTAAGAATGTAATTATTATATTTTTAATTATTAATTTATAATTTTTTTAATTAGACATAGATTAAGAGTATATTTAATACACTTTTTAGTTATTAAATTATATAAAAAAATAAAGTTTAACATTAATTTTAACAACTAACCAATTAAATTAATACACGTGACATTGATATTAATGTTAAAACTAATATCACATTTTTTGTTTTTTCCATATGAATTAATAATTAAAATGTGCATTAAATATATCCTTAATTGATGATTTAAAGGCATAACTTAGAAAAATCCTTAATTTACATAGAAAATTACAAAAATAAACTTTATTTTCAACACTATTATTATGTGGAATGCTTTAATTAGACAGTTGATAAAATTGAAGTTAACTTATATTTTTTTTTCGTGTAAATTAATGGTGAAAACGTGTAATAATTGCATGTTACAAAATTCCTCTATACAAAAAGTAAACTTAAAACCTTCTATTTGATTATATAAAAAAAAAATACTTTCTATTTGAAAATTTCAAACTCAAGTTGTGGATACTTTTTCTAATTAGTTGTTTTTCAATTTGGAACAAAAATTTAGGATCAATAAGTGACTTATTTAAAAAAAATAAAAGGAATTAATAATTAAATAATATATGATCTATCTTTTAATATTTTAAATGATATGCTGTATACTACAATTTTAGATTTTAGTTTTAAAATTTTGTCCCATTATTTAATTATAGATTTTTTAACATCTATATTTAAAATATAAATTAAAAATGTAATTAATATAATTTTAATTATTAAGTCATGTAGAAAAAAATTAATATCAAATTTAATATCAATGTCACATGTATTAATTTAATTAATTAATTGATAAAATTAAAATGAAAATTTTTTATGTAATTTAATGAATAAAAAATGTATTAATTACATTTTTAATTTATATATGAGAAAAACTCTTTATAGTAATTATATATGTTTTTAAACTTGCAATTGGAGAAAGTCTAAATTTCAATTGGCAGGCAACATCCATGCCTTGATCTTATTTAAATTTAGAAGACCGATGGACGTAAATGAGAAAAGAATCTTCTATTCTATATCAATATTATTGAAATATATATTCCTTGTAATCAAGGACAACTTACAATCCTTGATTGTATCGCCAGATTTGTTAATGAAACCTACATTTAATGGTATTTGTCTTTTTTTTTTTCTTTTTTTTTGGTAAATATTTGATGGAATTTATTATATTCAAATCAATTCTCTTTTACTGCAAATTTGAACTTTGCAGGAAGTAATAGATAAGAAATTTTTTAGAACTTCATTTTAATTGAGATATTAGGAGTTTTCCAATCTTCACATTAGTTAGATTAAATTCATCCCAACTTGGATGGTTTTTTTTTCTTAAAATAAGGCCACATGTCTCTCATATAAGGATTGGTGTTGACATAACCCCTCACTTATTGTTTAATGGGATACAATCATGGTTTTGAAAATCGAACCAGTGATTGAATCGGTTTACTCACTAGTTCTTGATTTGAGCAATTTGATCGACTCAATCGGTCGGTCAATTGAGTCAAAAGAAAAGTGCCAGAGTTTGCAAATTTGGGTTTTTTGACTGAATTCTGCTATTGTTTTTACATTTTTTCCATGCAATTTGCAGCAACTATAAGGACAAAAACTCAATAAATAAATAAATAAAATATCATGTAACTGCAAAATTTAAAATTAATAAATGTTATATATATAT